CCCGACTCTATCTCTCAAGTCACACTGTTCTATTCTTCAACATGACTTCCCCTCAGGATCCTCACTCAAAATCATACTCCCACATCAACGGCCACGCCGAGGAGCTCCTTGACAGACTCGCCGTCTCAGAACTCTGCAAAGGATGGCCCGTCTATCGTGATGCCTCCGAGTGGAAGAACTACCGTTCTCTCTTCGCCGAGGACGCAACAGTTTGGACTAGTAAGTTTTGATTCGTCTTTGATAAAATTCAAAATCACTAACATTGTCCCACAGCATGGTCCGGCCCGAGATCAGTAGACGAGTTCATCGCCATCTCCAAAGCCGGCAAGGAGAAGGGCGTCTTCATCATGCACCGCGAGTGTGGCACCCTGACCGAGCTTTCTCGGGAGCACAACCGGGCCATCGGCAAGATGAAGGCCACAATCACGCACCGCTTCAAGTTCCACCCATCCAACGGTGCCTCGTCTGCATCATCCGAGCCCAGCGAGTTCGACGTCGACTGTGACTGCCGCTTCATCTTCTTTTGCGAGAAGAACCCAGCCACTGGCGAGTGGAAGGCCAAGTACGTCAAGCTCTTTTACGAGAAGGACAAGGTGGTACCTACAGACGGAATCAAGGCGCCTACTTTTACTCGGCAGGAATTGGAAAAGTACCCCGAGGGCTACCGGTACCTGGGCGCAGCTCAGGCCAGGCTGGGTTACGAGATTGACTTGCAACTCCCAACCGCTTCTGGGGAGTTGTGGGATCGCATGTACGGCGAGATGGAGAAGTGGCTGGACGGCGGCAAGGTGGATCTCTTTTGGGAGCACAAGTGAGGGAAACGGAAGGAGAATTTTGGAGGGACACCAGAACATGAAGACTCGGACCGGGATAGTTTGTGACGTTGGTGCCCCTTTGTCTTTATTTTCTTCTACTTTTTTCTTGCGTGATACCCGGTGATATGTATAGACGGGTTTCTTATTGTTTCTCAGAATTAGTATATATATATTAGATCTCATTACTGGCCGACAGTTCTAAAGATTGAGCAATTCACAATACCTACCTATTCAATCCTCCAAATATTTCCAGCTACGCAAAACAAACGCACTGACGGTGAAACAAGCAACGGGAAAGCGGCAAACACAAGCCGAGAAAGTCATGCCACGCCCAACCGTTACCTGCTCTAGCCACCTTCTCTCAGGGGTCAAGGTGTGGTCTGTGGACCATTCCACATGGCATCGAAATATCCCCGTGCAAGCTGGCCCCTCGTACAAAGAAGCCATATGTAACACGAGAAATATCTTAGCTTCCGGGCGTTCCCGTCGTGATACCTACCTGCCAGGTGAGAAAAAGTCCGAATCAACTCGTCACATCAAGAACAGGGGAAGATCAAATTCCGATATCGGACGATTATCTCCGTTTCTGTTTTGTGATGACTCCTGATGATACGGTCCAGATTGCTGGGTCGGGGTGAGCTGGCAGTGCAGAAGGATCAGGGTAATACGCCCCTGACGGGCAGGAAAAGATGGAGATATTTCCTGAAAAGAAGAAAAAGCGTTCACACCGCTTGTGGTGTATCAAGGAGGAGAGATTGACGAGATATCACGCTATCTCTTGCTGATGGATGTTAGTCAGTTAGGGAAGGAAGAAATGATCTGACATTGTTTCTTCAACGATACCTGAAGCCGCATTCAGCTCAGCAACTTTAAAAGCGAACCACGACTTCACATCGATATAGCGAGAGAGAAAAAAAGGAAGAAGAAAAAAAGAAAAAAAAGGAAACTTGTCCGTGCAGCCTCAAAAGGGAACGGGAGTTCAAGATCCACATTCTTTGTGGTAATGCCCTCAGCTTCTGGACGATGTAGACAAGTCAACTGAGCGGCGAGGGTGAAGAGTAGCGTAATAATTGCTGCTGACGAAAGTGACCTGAACATATATTAATCAGTCAAAACCGTAATTTTATCACGAACATTCGAGAGGTCTCTGTCATTGATTTGGCAGACGATGATTTGGAATGGATCATTTTTGGGAACGTCGAGACTGTTAAGGCGCTGTGACCAATCTGTGATTATTTTCGTGGTAAAAGTGTGTTTGCATTAACAATTAATCGAGTGGACTGCGGGGCACCCTTTCTGCCAGCTTAGCACTGATTAGTCAACCACAAAAGGCAACACCCAGATCCCTGTCCCTGCATGGATTCCACCAGAAAAAGCGCCAAAGCTCGCTGTCGTCTTTTATGCCCCGCGATGCTATTTCATTGCGCAATTCTTGTCTCTCCACAAGCTTTCTCTCCCAACACCCACCCAAGATCCCCTCTCTCGAAACTGCGCGCCATACGAGGCAGACTGAGCGACATTCAAATCGAACTCCCTTCCCCCGAACAATCACCCGCACCCTCAAAATGACCGACGCCGTCAAGCACATCACCTCGCACACCGAGTTCGACGATCTCCTCAAGTCTACCCGCTATGTCATCACCGACTTTTACGCAGACTGGTGCGGTCCTTGCAAGCAGATCGCCCCTCACTACATCAAGATGGCTAGCACCTTCTCTATCCCCGGCTTCCTCGCCTTCGCCAAGGTCAACGTCGACAACGTACAATCGGTCGCTGTGAAATATGGCGTCTCCGCAATGCCAACATTCCTCTTCTTCAAGGAGGGTAAACAGGTCGCCGTCAACGGCCACGCGATGATCCAGGGAGCCAATCTCCCCGTTCTTAATGCGGCCGCTGAGAAGATGGGCAGATTGGCAAAGGAGAAGGCTGACGCTGCTGCCGCCGAATAATAATGGAAACCCGCAAAATCTTGGGAGGGACGGAGGAGCATGTGGGAGCTTGGAGACCTGGAGAGAGAGATCGAAGAAATATAGATACCCTTTGGAAGCACATTCACGGTTGGCGCTCATCATGGTGTCCGTTTTGATGCAACGTTTCTCTGTCCGCTAATCTCAGCGGAACCTCCCGCCCCGCGTCGCCTCGCCCTTTTTGCGATCGACGACCAGCGGCGCAGGGTGTTGGAGATGATGTCATTGCAAATGAACGCCAACAGGTTTTATCCAACCTCTCCTTCATGAAGCATAATTAAAATCACTTTACAATATTCCAGCGAGACGGTATCACCATCGTAACTACTCATCGCGACGACGAGCAACACTACTAGCAACACTACCATGTCATCTTCGACCGATTCGACAGAAAACCAAACGCTGACGCGCGCACAGCCAGATGGGAAAAGAAAATCTCAACTTGGAGGCCTCGATGCGACTTATGATTCCAGCGAGACCAAACAAATAGCCCCGCGACAAGAGCAGCAGCAACAGGTCACAAGTCAGTCTAGGAGTCAGAGCGGCGCACCCGCCGTTAGACTGGACATGGACTTGGATATGGAGATTGAACTCAAAGCAAAGATAAAGGGAGATGTGACACTGTCTATAATCGACGATAACAAGAAGCAACCCTGAGCGCGCCCACGCGCGGTCTCGTGGGTGGGTGGTGTTCTGCGTCAGTCACGAGGTCATGCGATGCTCGTGTCTGACTGACAACCATCACACCTAACCTCCACGCGACTGTTAGCGTTCGATCAGTCGCACATGCACTATCCTCAGCATTTTTATGATAAAATATCGCAAAGATGTCTTTCATGCGTCTAAGCAGTTCTCGACTGCATTTCACCTTTCCAGCTAGCGAAGCATACACCTTTACATTCATAGTAAAATCCGACGCTCCCTTCACAATATCAACGGACGAGTAACCATTTTTCAGTACTCCTGAGACGATGTCCTCTCATCGCGCTCGTCGCGCAGCAAGTCGAGCTGAGCGCGCTTCCTCCCGACGCTCGTCAAGTCCACCTCCGACCAAGTCGCCTGCCCCTGAGATTCTGGCAACTCTCGGCCGAGTTGTTTTACCTTTTATCGTGCGCAAACTCAACGAGAAAAAGCAAAGCGGCGGCGGCAGTGGCGGCGGAAGTCGTAGTTCCAAAAGAGATGTCTCCCGTCCCCGTGATCGTGACGGCAACCGCGACGACCGCAGCAGAAGCCGCACACGTACGCGCGCACGCTCCAAATCCGGATCACGATCCCGAGCAACCACCCGCGACCGAGACGGAGACTCTGATAGAGATCCAGACCGAGATTTACATTCGCTCGTCAGTCAAGTAGCAGTCGGTCTCTTAGCAGTTGGGGTCAGACAAGCCATAAAGAAGAGGAGGGAGGCAAAACGAGCTGCTGCTTCCGCTGCTTCATCTGCACCAAGGGATGATCAATACAAGCGAGTAGCGGATCCTGAATTGTCTCGCGCGCTTGAAACGACGGCAAGAGAACTTCAAGGTGCGACTGAATCCATACGGAGGTTATCGAATACTCCTGGACACAAGGGACGATGTGAGGTACGGGATGAACTCGTCAAGGATGCTGAGAGATTGGAAGGTACTTTGGGAGGGATACAAGCGAGTATACACAATATGCGGAATTTACATCCTGGATTAAACGTGGGGGAACCGAAGCGTATCGAGCGGGGCGAGCGGGGCGAGCGTGGTGAGCGTGGTGAGCGTTTTGATCGTGGTGAGCGTGGTGATCGTGGTGAGCGTGGTGATCGTGGTGAGCGTGGTGATCGTGGTGAGCGTGGTGATCGTGTTGAGCGTGTTGAGCGTGGTGAGCGTGTTGAGCGTGGTGATCCATGGGAGAGACCCAGGAAAAGACCGAGGTCTTCTTTTAGGGAGAGGAGTTTTTCGTGAAATGGGGTTGCTTCGCAGGGGAATAGAGGTTTGGTCAGTTTATTTACATCAGAATCATCATCACCAGCTTTCTCTTCCTCTCCCCCCCTGAAGCTTTGCTCGTGTTTCTCCACTGCTCTCACCCACTCAGTCTGCAGGGCCACCATTTCCAACAAAACCTTGAGTTTATTTTGACATCCACACTCCACAACCTTTTTCCCACATATACTAAATAAAATCCCGCGCCTCTTTCGTTTTGATCCGAGATCCCTTTCCCAGGTCTTCAACAACAAGGAGATCCCTTCTTCTCCGCCCGCATGGCTCAGTGGTAGAGCGCATCACTAGTAACCTTCTAAAGAATCTATGATGAGGTCGTCAGTTCGATTCTGGCTGTGGGCATCATTATATCATCCCAACAAGCAAGGGATGGGGATTCTTTTTGGGTTTGGGTTTGGGTGTCTTGAGTGTTGGGTGTTCATGTGATGTGCGTGTTGTGGTCGGGAGGGAAGATGGGCATCATCATCAACTAGGTTTAATTTGTTACATGCTTGGGTCTTATAACCCTTCAATTGTTTTTGTTTGTTCTTGCTGCAAGTCGGGATGTTTTCTGTCATCTCATATCATGTACGTTGTCACAGTGATTTTATATTGTGATATCTTGGTCATGAATTACTCATGGTGTTATTTTCTGGCCGACATTTGACATCTCGTGGTGAACTTTGCTTTGGATTTGTTTTGTTCCTAGATATACTCAAATAGAAACTTATCTTATATTTCCCTCTTTTGCCCATTACCTATACATAGTGTTATTGTACGTATACATGCCTTCCTTCCTTGGGTCCTGTTTGCCCCTTTACCATACATGGCCCAACCAAATTACAGATATACCAAACCCCCCCCCCCCCCCCCCCCGCACCAACAAGCACCCACCACCAAAACACAAGCAACAACCACTCAAAAAAAACACACCACCACTTAAAATATACAGGA